TCTATAGTATGTGAATTATTTTTTATATAGAATGTGGTATCTCTTGTTGTTTGCTAATGACTATTAACATAAGACCAGAAACCACTACTCAAAATCTGTGATTTGTATAAATGTTATTTTGCTAAAAACCCATTTTTCATACCTATGCACCTATGGTTGTTTCACAGGTAATAAATCAAATGTGGCATACTATGTATATATTATTAACTGAATGTTACTTGTTATATATAATTTTTAAAAAAATATATTCATATATATATATAAACTAAATGCCATTTAATTTGGTTTTCCTCTGGAAGTTTCTATTAGTCTATAAACAAGAAGTTGGAAACAAAAATTTTGGTAAAATGTCTTATGGGATTTCATGCCAGAATATACCAGTCATAATAATTTTACATAACAGTTGGGAATCTTAAGGTCTGATTCTAAGGTCATGTTTTGGGAGCACTCTAGGGATAGCAGTCCCAAGGTTGAAGTGAGACATAAGGGTCATCACCTTGAGAGGCAAGAGTTAGAGCTGGCTAAGACTTGCTGTCCCCATTTCGTGAGAATTTAATGAGACCTATATGTCTGTGTTGGCATTTTGCAAAAGTTAGAAGCAACACAATTGAGTTTCTGCATCATCCAAGGAGGAAAAATATCAAAAAGTTTTTTTGTGTGTGTGGAGAGGGAGAGAGAGACAGTCTTGGGAATTGTGACATGAAGAAAATGGGTTGTTTGTTCTTTTTCATTTAAATCTTCTCCAGGGGGTCTTGCATCATTTTAACATGATGCTAAATGATCTTCTGTGAAGCCTATTTGGTTAATGTGGAAAGCCCTAATATTTGATTAGATTAGTTTATCATGAGCTTTGTCTGAATCTATATAGAGAATTCTAGCTTGAATTTGCTACCATCTCATTAACCTTTTACAGGAAAGCCACAGGAATTAGTTTTTACCTTCTTAAATTGCTTGTTTACCATTTATTAAATACATACCACATACTGAGAAGTTTACATGAAAAATTAGTCTTTGTCTACAAGAATCTTGTTATCGTAATAGGAAATTAAAATACCCAGCAGACAGATAAGGAAACTACACATTTACATACATACATATTTATGCACATATACCATGCTCAGGTGAACTAAATTCTGCTACGTTTGTTTTCCTTGTTTGGGATATCTCACTTTACGTGGCATATTTATAGACATATATGCAAATATTGAACAGTTGATGTTTTTGCTACCTATTTCTTCAAATTCTTTGAGTATAAGAGGTCTTCATCTATCTACCATCTATGGAGATTTTTAAAAAGTTAGTTCTCTCTCTCTTTTTCCCCACACACAAAAAAAAGGTTTACACCTCAGTTTAATAGGAAGAACAAAGGGCAAGAGTAATTTTCACAAAGTCCCATTTTTCTTCAGGAAACTCAACCTGTGTTTCTGCACATTGTATTCATAAGCTGTGAGGAGAAAGGATAGGGCAGGAGAGTCCAGTATCTGTCAGACTCTGACTTGTTCTTTCTGGTTACCTCTACAGTTAATCTCATAACATTTAGTGTCATATTCTCTGAGGGGAGACATATTTCTTCTTCCCAATGTCGCTACCATATTATATTCTACCACATTATCTTCTCATCATTGTACCACGCCACATTTCACCTCATTTATCTTCAAAGAAGAAAGAAGCCACTCTTCTCCAGAGTTCTGACATACCAAACTGAGCCAATGTAATTACTACACTGTAGGATAATTCCTTACAACTCCTCAAATTATATTAATATCTAAGTATTTTAGCAATGCCTTTTTAGTCTTTATTCTGCATTGGGCTCAAATAAACTACAATGATCCAGATTTTGAGAGAGTGGACTTCATTGACTTATTCTCCAGCTAACAAATTTGGAAAAGTACACCCTACTACTTAACAATTGGGGACCTGGGGAGGGAACTATTGTATAGACAAGGTAGGCTAGATTTGGGGCAATAACAAACTCCAAATTTTAGAGGTATATAACAGTATCAGTTTCTTTCTTATTTGATCGTCGTGGTGAGTCTTCATCGGGGAGACTCTGTTCATGTCTTTAACTCTAGGGATTCAAGTTGCTGTACTTTCTACTTTCATGGACATCATTGCTCACTTTGGCTGGGGGAGAGAAACACATCAGTTCTTAAGTAAACTAGTTTTTTAAAAGCATATTACACAGAGAACTGATGACCTTTGCTTCCTCTCATAAATGCCTCATAGTCCTTTAGCTTTCATTTCATTGGGCCAAGTAAGTCACAATCCCACTTCTAGAGTCAATGGGATGGAGAAGTACAAAAGTACCTTGCATCCAGAAGGGAGAGAAACAGCACTATGTGGCAAAAAGCACTTACCATAGATACTTTATCTTACTATTTTCCTTGTCAGACAAGGTAGACATGAATGTTGGTGATGGCATTAAGGAGAAACCAGATGCAAAGTTTTCGTTCCTTCCTTCCTTTTCTAATATATAAGAAAATCTCCCTTCAATGAAGATGGTAACATATCCTTGGTGCTGCAAAGATGCCTCTTTTCCCAGGGGAGAGATCAGAGGAGGCTTAGCATGTGCTCTCAATCATTGCACATTCAGCTACACTGGCTACCTTGCTGCCCTGGGAACATGCCACACTTTTTCCTATTTCAGGGTCTTGAGATTTTCTGCTCCTTCTGTTTGGAATGTTATTCCTGACTTAGATCTTCATAATGGATACTTCCTTCTCAAGAGTCAACTGATTATCTCCTCAGAGAGATCTTCCCTGAGACTGTCTCCCTCCCGGCCCACCTATATATATATGTACTCACACACTCCCTTTCTGTGTAATCACTCTCAAACATATTTTTAAAAAAATTTAAAAATCAAACATTAACTTACTTAATCACTAATTTATGTGGTTATACTTGTTTTCTTTCCTAGGAATACAAGCTTTTCAAGGCCAGGGAGAGTCTATGTCTCTCCTATATCATTGCTGCATCTCCTGTACTCAGAACCGTGCCTACTTTGTGGTATTCACTCCTTTACAATGTGACTAAGTGGAGTGCAGTGTAGAGGCACTACAACTTTTATGATGTAAAGTACTCAGGAAATTGAAATGAACTGACTTATCATTAATTAAAACATATTTTCTAGAGCACATTTGATAAGAATAGAAGTCTAGCTCTTAATTTTTTAGCTTTCATAGTCATAGATTTGTGTTTGAATCAAATATAGAGAACATCCTCATAAGAACAGTGGCAGAAAAATATTTGTAACTTTGAAAATAGTATCTACCTCTTAAATGCACTCTTGAGTGTTATATGTGGTTTTAGACACCTTTTTCACTACTGTGACTAAAAGATCTGAACAGAACAATTTTAAAGAAGAAAAAGTTTATTTGAAGGCTCACAGTTTCAGAGGTCTTAGTCCATAGAAGGCCGGCTCCATTCCTCAGGGGTCGAGGTGAGGCAGCACACCATGGTGGAAATGTGTGGCAGAGGGAAGCAGCTCACATGATGATCAGAAAGCAGAGAGAGACTCCACTTGCCAGATACAAATACATACCCCCAAACTGTGCCCCAATTCCCCCATTTCCTACATCCACACCCTACCACTTCAATGACCTCTCATTAATACCTATCATGGGATCAATTCACTGATTGAATTAAGATTTTTACAACCTAGTCATTTCTCCTCTGAACTTTCTTGCATTGTCTTACAAGTGAGATTTTGGGAGATAGCACATCTAAACCATAACGTGTCAAAGCTGTGTGTCACACCTGAGTTTCTTGATCTCAGATGGAAGAATGAGAGGTAACTGATATGTGTGTGATTTGTTCTCTCTCAGTAAAATCTAAGCTCTCTAACCTGAGCTACTATACATTGGTTCCTCTCATCTTTAAGAGCAAAGTTAATATAATGCATGCTGTGCTGATCTCATTTATAATGGGTTTCAATATTTTTATAACTTTAAACAACTTCTGATTTCCTTCTTTTCTATTTAAATTTCTGTTTTTATGTCAATCACAGTTTAAAAATTTTTGAAACCATAATCTTCCAATGAATATTTGATTTTAAGCTTTTACATTTGTTGTTACTTTTAGCCAAAGAAATTTATGCTTTATCATTTCCCAGAAGGATTAATAATTTGAAGAAGAAATGTGGGGAATATAATAATTATAAAGACAAACAAAACCCTGTCAGAATGTGACAAGTGAGGTCCTAAAAATTCAGTCACCCCAAAAGTTCAGTAGCCTCACTTGGAGGTTAACAAAATAGATATAGGATGCTGACAGCTTAGGGGACCAGGTTCTCGGTGGCTGGCTGATAGATGTAATCCATCCAATTTCTGGCTACAGTTGGTGCCATTTGGTGGTAGTTGTCACTCAAGCAAAATGACAAGGAAAGAAGTCTAGGTCCTGAGACTGACTGGACTTCTAGGAAAATGGTGGTAATTTCAAGAATCACCCTCTTAGTTCATTTCCAGGGAAACTCTGCAGAAGAATGCTAAGGATATGGTACTCACACTCTGCCTCCTGTTTCCTGAGAATATTCTTTGCCTGGCTTCACACTCTACCTCTGAAGAAGAGCATAACTATTATCAGCACTCAACTGTTTTGAGAAGGGGGCTGGACTCAGCTCTACTGCAGGGTACTTTGTCCAGGGGTTTACTTTAACTTGATTAATACGTTGAAAAAAAATATGTGAAAAAAGTCATTTGCAAATTAATATACTTTTGATAGTACCATATATAGCCTCTATATTTTAGACTGTTTTAACAGCTCATTCTAATTTGGTCACTAATTGTTCCTGCTTCACGGAGCATTTACTGACAGAAATGGTCTCACCACATTTAGAAAAGAAATCAAATCTGCGTTATGGAGTTAGCATCATTGTCTTCCTAGTTTCATGCATGGTGGATTCCCTATAGAGCTATATTTAATGTACTACTAATTAAAAAAGAGGGAGGGAAGTGTCCAAAGCTTCCTCAACGTTGTTTTATCTTTTGTTTTTGTTTGCACAGCTCACCATGTTAAAACGGGAACTTGCGAGGTGGTGGCACTCCACAGATGCTGTAATAAGAACAAGATAGAAGAACGATCACAGACAGTCAAGTGCTCCTGCTTCCCGGGGCAGGTGGCAGGCACCACACGAGCGGCTCCTTCTTGTGTGGATGGTGCGACTTCTTCCGTTGCTCATTGTGGGAGTGTAGTGGGGACTGCTTGGTACTGGAACCAACTATAATGTTGTCACCTGGAGTCAATCCTGGGGGATCACACTATGAATCACATGGCTAAAGTTATTTAGGAGACACTTTGGAATCTAAAATCCTTTAGCTGGAGATATAAGATTTTATGCAGTTCTGCTATAGAAGGATTATAATGAGGTTCCGTTAAGTCAACATATTTCTTATTTTGATATCATGAAATATTGATTTCCTGGTGGATGATAAAGGGAGGGACGTGTAAAAATTAATTGGGAAAGGCAAGATGAAAATAGATTACTTAACAGCATAGATTCCTAAGTCTATAATAAATTGTTCTTAAGAATGGAAAAAGTTAACACCATATACATGAGTGAATGTTTGGTTGTGGATAGAATTCACAAAAATATTGATTTTGTGAAGATGCATGAAAATATTAGTTCTTTTAGGATTTGCCTAATTATAGCATAATATAAATCTATGGGTCCATTTAATCAATGTTACCATAAACAGTAATTTGTTAGGTGATATATTCATTGTGATGAGATTGGTGCTCATGATAAAAATAAGAAAAATGTGTTTAACTCCATTTAACAACCTCCAGATTTTCATCCTATTGATAGGAAATATTACATTGATTTTAAACTGGTCATGTGTTCATTTTCTACTGTTTGTATAAATCAGTATGGACATATCCCCACATAGTTTTATTATCAATGTATTTGTTTTCATAAAGCCTTTATTTTCACATGAAATATCTCTAACATTGTGGTTATAGTTAACACCATTGTATTGTTCACTTAGAAATTTGTTAAAACTGTAAATCTCAGTTCAATATGCTTATCATAATAAAAAATTTAAAGGAAAATTCTTTATAAAATTTTGCTAAATATTTTTTTAGTTAGATCAGTGGCTTTTGTTTCTATTTAAGTGTGCATCCAGACTATTCTAATAGTCCTTAATAGAAAACATGGAGTCAATTTTTCTCTCTGTTGTAGCATCTATAGTGGAACAGAAATGGTGGTGTCATATGCAGCCATGTTTGGAGGGAGAGGAGTGTAAAGTTCTTCCAGATCGGAAAGGATGGAGCTGTTCTTCTGGGAATAAAGTGAAAACAACTAGGGTAAGTGGAAATCCAGCATGGCAAAAGTGAAATATCTCTGAATCAATAGAGAATGGGGCATGTGCAGTAGCATCTGCAAGTGGTGGTTATAGAATGAGAAAGTGTGGTTTTGCATAATGTGTTTCCATTTTTTCTTTAATTCATTTTTTTCATAGTACATTTTTATTTCTGAATGACATCTTCTTTATATTACCATCAATTCTCATGCCATCAGATAAATAAACACTGTTTTCAGATAAATAAACACTGTTTCCTCATGAGATACTGCTGGGAATGTGAACCCCCTTGAGGATGCATGTTAAATGTTGGGAAGGTGACCCCAATCCTAATTCTTCTGATGTATAAGAAGAATCATTGCAATCATTGTTACTGAGAAAAGTTTCACAATCAGGGCCAAAGTACAAAGAATATTCCTAAGACAGGGATGCATTTCAGCTTTGCAATGACTGATGTTGGAGAATAGGAAAGGAGTGAACAATCACTTTATTCTTTGATTTGTTAATGAGCCACATGGTTATTCTGGACTGGCAGAATCTGAATTTGAATTTTTTTTTTTTTTGTAGAGTAAATAAGGTTTTGTTATATTGGAAAAATAAGGAGTAGCATAAATCTAAAGATTGGTTTATTTGTGATATTGTTTGACACGTCAGTTTTTTAAACCTTGTCTGGACATATTAAAGAGATTATTTTATAATCTAATTCAGATATATTTTAGTCAGTCAAGTAGTGTTTTCAATGCATGATGATCAGATATACCAAAAAAAAAAAAGATCAAGTTTCAAGTAGCACAAAAAATAATCATACTTTGTCAAGTTATTTTTGACTTTAACTTGTTAAATGTTGCCACATTTTTCCAAAATTCACTAAGTGCGTGATCAGTAAGTTAGAATAATTTTTATTCAGTGAGTTAGCAAAAGATATAATTAAAACTAATTAATTAAAAACATTTTAGAAATAAATTTCCTTGGAAGGTGTTTATATTATGAAATTATTTTCTCTTCCCTTAACATTGTTAGGTCTAAGTCTAAAATAAAGGTCATTGAAATTCACTGAAGATTTGAGATTCTGCAACAAAAATGAAAAAATGGCAAGATCTCTTGAACCAAATTCTATGTTTTTATTACTTCAGTGAACAAGGGGAAGCTAACATTTATTGAATACTTAAAACATATGCTATAAATGGAACAAAGTGCTTTAAATTAATTTGTTCATTTACTCCTCTTAATGGCCCAGTGAAGGAGATAATATTTTTATCTCCTTTATACAGATGAGTAAACCAAAACTTTAAAAAGTTGAGTGACTTCTCAAGATCATAAAGCTAATTATTGGGACATCAGAGCTTAAACCATACAACCACATTCCAAATCCTATTTGCTTAACCTGTATTTTGTACTTATGATTTAACTTATTCTTAATTAATAGCAATAAAAGTCTCTTTTGTATTAGGTAGACCTTTAAAAATATCTTTAACTTTCTGGATCATTGAAACAAAAAGGTCAAGACCATGGGATCCAAAATCTCATAGAGAAGATTTTTACAAGAGCTGTTTCACTCCCTGTTGGCTATATTCTCAATGATCCAAAATTACAATGGAGTCTTCGCTTCACAAAGTTCTTTCCAATGAAATGAAACTATATGGATAGGAGACTGAGGACAATGAATAGGGAAATGTGGAGCTACATCCGGACCCTGTTTTGCTTATATATTGTCCTGGGCATACTGTATGACACTTCCTATCTTTCTTTCATCTCTTTTGCCCCCCAAAACAGCAAATAATGGAGGACTTCATTTAAGATATTACAGAGAGGATTCATGCAACAGTAGATGTTTGGATTAAATTACCTTCAATATCGCTAATGATTCTAAGACTCTGTGATTCCCATTTTAAAAAGAGATACCATCATTTATAATAGAAGATAAGGAGACTTGAAAGAAGGATCTTCTTGAGTAAAATCAAAGTTAATTATGATTATCCTTTCTTCCCCTTCATTAGAAAAAATATTGCTGGGAAAAAATGGAGATGCATAAACAACTCCAATTAACATCATAGCCTTCCAAATGGCTAGGCAAAGATGTGTAATTATAAGTGTTAGTTTGGATCACTAAAAAACAGTTTGAGCAAATTTTCCTGATGCTACAAAGAAAAGCAGAGTTTCTAAGGTAATAAGGTCATTACTGCTATGCCATCCCCACTGAAATGGTACAAAAAGTATGGGGGATAAGAAGTATTCTTGAAATAGCCCTTGACACAATAGTATCTTGCCAGTAGGGAGCGTGGTAGAGGTAATTTCCTCTGTGCTTATATAGAAATGATATTATTCAGAAGAACTTGATTCAATATTTTAATCATTGGTATTATTATCTACTTGCCAGTGTTGAATATGGTAGCTGTGGCTCCCTTGTGTCTAGAAATAGTTAGAACCCTAATTTGGAAAGGTCCTACCCACTAAATGCCAAGTCCAGAAGTTAAGCAGCAATAGGTTACAAAGTAACTCAAGAGCTGCTCTCAGCCAAAAACTATTTGTGTTTCTTATGTAAGATATATTGGTCATAGGGGATCATTGCTACAAGCAAAATGGCTTGAAAAATGATTAAAATTTGCAATAATGCACACCCTCCCTTATAATTGCCCATATCCAATCTGTAGTGCTCCAATAAGCCTCATGTTAGAAAAAAAGCAGTCAGCCAAAACAGCAGTGAGGCTTGTGTGGCCTCCGCAGAGATGTGAGGTTCCTTCCAGAACTGACTACAAATCTGGGGCTGAGTGAGCTCATCTAAGAGTGATTTGGAACCTATATCATACTTACTACAAATGTGAATTATATCCTCCTTCTGTCTTTGAACTAAATTTAGGAAGCTTTTTTGTTCTGACCCATTTTCTGTGCTAAAAAGGGGGAAAGGCAAGGAATAGACAGCCCTTTTTGTAACGTCAATATTTTGTTCTTCAAAACCCCAAATATTTAATGGAAGAGAATAAGAAGATGCAACGTTTGTTTCCTGTTCTCATTGTTAAGGTGGAAAATTTAGGACTATCTCTGACATTTATAAAGATCTGTAATACTTTTTTAAGATTTCCTAAGTTAAAAAGAAAGAAAGGGAAAGTCATTTATGCCTTTTATTTTAAACTCACTTTCAAAGATAAATAATGAAGACTTTCTTCAAGTCATTAATAAAAGAGTAGGCTTTCCAGTGTGAAAGAGCACATAATTATATGCTAATTATACAATAGAAAAGTAGCAGGGGGGAAAGGTGCCATAGAGCTTGTAAGATATGAGAAAAAAAAAATCTTTAACATTGTCAGAATCACCAGAAAAAAAAATAGACTGTGGTTCATTTCTTTTCATGTTTCAATGTTTGTTCAATTCTTTGTGGAAGATGCAAGGCAGTTGCATTCTGCTTTTAGGATTTATAGCCCTTCCCAATTGGTATGGACACCAAGCTCCAAACTTCAGTCGTTGCCATAGCTCTTGTGTCTGATTCTTACCCAGGGAAAAAATGCACTTCACTTTATAAAAGACTTTATACTGTCATTAGAAAGATTATCTTTGTGAATCATGAATCCCTGGTCTACTGACTTTTCATATGATTAAGAAAGTATTTTCTGGATATTTTTTCGCTGATTGGAATTATTATGTCTACATTCATTTACTTCAAATGCCTTAAGTAGATAAGAACTCTCTGATTTTTTAATGTCCCTTCAAATAAAAAGAATTTAAGTGTATAAAATATGATTCTGGTTTTATTTTTTTTTTGTATAGTGCAGAGACAATCAATAGTAGGAAGAATTTCTTATGTATGGCATTCTATGATTATAGTACTCATAACCAAAACAACAAAAGCAAATGCAAAAGTACTTCTCTCTTACCGTGTGTAACTCACTCTGCTAAGAGCATTGCAAATATTAGCTTATTTTATTTTCCTGACCACAACAGACACTAAAGAAAATTCAGAGATGTATGGCATAAACCCTGTCCACGAGGAGTATGCACTTGAGGAGGAAAATGAATAGTGTATGTTGTATTATTATTCTCTTTTATCCATCTGCAGCCCACTGACATTAAACCTTGCACTCAATGGTAAATAAAAGTCAAGAGTAATGTTAAAATAATGAAATAGCATAAGACCATTGTTTAGCTTCCTCTTCTGCAAAAAATTTTAAAAAAATAAAATTAAGTATATACAATAAAATTAAGTATATATGCATAAATAAATAAATAAAGGAAGATGTTGAACTAGGTTCAATTACAAGTTCTTCCAACCAACATTTATTCTTTGGTTCTGAGTGCCAAGGACATTTCTAACTTCCTCTCCAGCTAAATTTATATGGCACTAATACCTGGCTAATCGCAGAAGACAGATGAGTATTAGGTTTTTAATTCTTTTCCTGTAAGGTGGAAAAGAAACAGCACGTTGTGATGCTTTGCTGATTAAAGCCTGGAGTCCTCCCTTACATATGCTACTGGCTTTTGCACCAAGGCACAGGGGCTGTGCTCTATTTATCTGGTTCTGAACAGTGTCCACTCGTGTTCTTTGAGACCCAGGGCAAAGGAAAAACTCCTTAGAGGAAAAGATTTCATTTCTTTATCTGAAGGTTTGTATAATTTGCTTGAATTCTTCAATTCTAATGTTCAGCTTTGCCTCGAAAATGTAAGTACAGTTTCATAACAGTGCAGTTCTTTCTTGTTCAGCCCTTTCTTAGCAGGCACATCCCCATTCATTTATCTTCATCTCACTTCCAGTCAGGCCCTAAATTGCACTGTGGTCCACAGCACAGAGTGTAATGACCTTTAGGGCCCTTGCTTTCAAATTACTTTTATGGTAGCCACAGTAAGAATGCATCTTACCTTGTGATCTAGCACACATGTAACACACATGCTTGCACATGCCTCATTAGAATTAAAGTTCTACTCTGACATTTGGGTTTTATTTCCTTCTTCCTTCTCTTTCCCCTTCCCTCTTTCTCTTCATTCTGCCCTTCCTTCCTACCTTCCAACATCAAC